GAGAGGGCTGGAGCCGGCAGTGGGAGAAATCAGGGCCAGTGCTGGCAGCATATGCAAGTGGCGGCTGCTGCTCAGATTGCACTCAGAAGTGGGGAGGGGGAAGTGGAGAAGCCCTCAGGGGTGATCGGGGCCAGCAGCTGCCACTTGCACCCACTGACGGGGCCAAGTGATCTGGGCCGGTGCCGGGCACCAGCAGCAGGTGCGAGCGGGTACAGTGCCAGCAGTAGGTGTGAGCACTTAGCGGGACCACGGTGTGTGGGAGCAAAGAATTTTCAGTAACCAACAGAGGCTTGCCCCAATGACAGCAACTGGTACCCTGCCTTGGTCTGGTGCCCTACACTGACGGCACAAAGTGATTGGGACTGGTGCCAGCAGTGGGTGCAAGCAGCAGCTGCTGCCTCGATCACCCCTCAAAAGCAGGGGGAGGTGGAGAAGCCCTCAGGGGTGAACAGGGCCAGCAGCCGCCACCTGCACCCACCGATGGCGCCAAGTGATCAGGACCAGCGCCAAGCATTGGCAGTGAGTGTGAGTGGCTGCTCCAGCGCTAGCTACGGGCGTGAGCAAGGCTGGCGCTGGCAGTGGGTGTGAGTGGCGGCTCCGGTGCCAGCAGCGGGTGCAAGCACCGGGTGAGACCGTGGCACATAGGAGCAAAGAATTTTCAGTAACCAACAGAGGCTTGCCCCAATGACAGCAACTGGTACCCTGCCTTGGTCTGGTGCCCTAGCTCACCTGCTCTACCATCCCACCGTGGCCAACGCCCGCCATGTTCCGCACAAGCCCACTGGTGGTCAGCTCATGTCATAGCAACCGATAGTTCAGTTGTCCCGCTGTTCAGTCTATTTGCATACTAGCCTTCTATTATATAGGATGATCCTCTGTGATTTGTTTCTTCTATTGTAGCAATTTTGAGGTTCATCCAGGTTGTAACATGTATCAGTATTTTATTCTTTTTTATTGCTGAATTAGAGGCCCGGTGCACAGATTCATGCACATTGAAAGGAAATTAATTAGAAGGTGGCTGGCAGGGTGGGACTGGGCAAGATGGGCCAGACATGCACTGGAGCTAACTTCCCATGGTCCCTCCCTGGCCAGCCGCACCTGGGGCGGTGCCGGAACTCAAAGGCCATCTGTGGAGTGAGCGGGGTCCCTCTGGCAGGTGGGGTCCCTCAGCCTGGCCTACGGGGATTGGGCCACAACTGGCAGTCCGACATCCCCCGAGGGGTCCCGGAGTGCTGGGGGGCACTCTGCAAAGTTGCTGTTGCTTGGCAGCTCCTGTGTTGAGCATCTTCTCCCTAGTGGTCATTGCACATCATAGCTACTGGTCGGACAGTCACTTAGGCTTTTATATATGTAGATAATATTCCATTGTACAGACATCCCACATTTAATTTATCCAACCACCAGTTAATGGGCATTTGGGTTGCATCCACATTTTCACTACCATGAATAATACTGCTATTAAGGTTTAAATTTTTTGGTATGGATATATATTTTCAATTATCTTAGTATCTATCCCCTTTCCTTCCACCCCCCTTATCCCCCCCCCCCAAAAATAAAGAGATATGTTGAAGTCCTAACCTCCAATACCTGGGTAAGTGACCTTTTTTGGAAATAGGTTTTTTATAGAGGTAACCAAGTTAAAATGAGGCCAATGGGGTAGGCACTAGTCCAGTATTACTGATGTAAGGACAAAAGGGGGAAATTTGGACAAGAATCAGAGATATACACAGAGAGAAAACCAAGTGAAGACAGGGGTTTGCAGTGATAGATCTACAAACCAAGGAACAGATTTGTATATTTCCAGCAATCACCAGAAGGTACAAGTGGCATGAAGGATTCTTTCCTAAAGCCACTAAGAGAGAGCATGACCCTGCCAACATCTTTATTTAGGACTTCTAGTCCCTCAAGCTATGAAAAAATTACTATCTGTTGCTTTAAGTAATCCAGTTTTTGGTATTTTGTTACATTAGCACTAGGAAACTAAAACAGATATATACCTAGGAGTGGAATTGCTGGATCATATGGTAACTCTATATTTAACCTGTCAGAGAACTGCAAGATTGTTTTCCAAAACAGCTATGCCATTTAATTGTTTCTCAATAAATTATTAATGGTTTCAAAACCTCTCTTAAATATATAAACTTTTCTGTGTGTAAGCTTGCCTTCCACAGGTAATTCTCCCTCATTCCCCACCATGGTGACAGTTTTCTTTGGCACCATTTGTTAAACCATCCTACTTCCTTCAAAAAAGAACAGTAACAAATAGTTAAATCATCAATGCACTAATAAGAGGAACACTAGAATGAGCTATGGTAGGGCTACAGAATAATCTTAAAGACATCTAAACCTGAAGATAGGAGAGTAGATGATACTAAATGGCAGGGTTTTGTTTTTAAAGGGAGGATTTCCTAGCTAAGACAAAGCAAAGAGGACCCAAATGATAACATTTTCT